AAGCTCTGTTGCTTCTACCCGCCGTGTGGAAGTCACAGCTGCGGTTCGGGAAGCGCTGGATTTCAAGGGAACATCAGCCTCGCAGAAACTGAGATTCACGCTGATGCCGCTCATAGATGGGCGGCTGCGAGCGCTGCACGAATACATCCTGACCTTTCTCTCGACGCAGGGCTGGAATAACACAGGAAGGGTCAATGTTGTGTGTAGTTCCATGAAAACATAATCTTAGCCTCTCTGTGGTGTTTGCAGTTGCCAGACATCAATTATTAGAGCTCACTGGTTACATCCAGCCTCTTTTATCATATTTCCTTTGAAGGCTGAAATGATCATCTATTAAAATCATTCAAAACACGAGTATATATTTTTTGGGGGTGATTTTTCACAATCTTGACAAATTATTTCTTAGTTTGCTGGTCTGATGCATTATTTTGAGATGAGAGAGAGAATAATTGGTCATTCTTTGCCCTTGATTTATTAAAATATTTTAGCTGTAAAACAATGTGCCTTGCTTGTTTCAACAAAAGCAACATTCATTTATTTATTTTCAATCCGTGATTATTTAAATATGATCCACTCACAACAACGTGATAAACAGCAGAGGAATCGCACTGTGTGTTTAACTAAGGGAGCATCTCTGTTAGTCGAAGAAAATAATAATCTGCCATACTGTTTGTGAGAGCCTGCCCAGTAGATTAAATGTTGATTTTTCAGTGTTTTGAGTTGACAAGGGCTGATTGGAGAATATTGTGTCCACTCAGAGCAGATACGGTTCTGGGGCAGCTGTCTAAACGATCACAAGTGTTGAATTATCTCTGATGGGTGACTACTTACATAAACACTTGCGCAGTGTTGGTTTTTTACCCTTGGAGTGAATTAACACTCGCACTTTTTGCTGTGTGAATATTGCCCATATTAGCCGGTGTTTCAACAAGGGCATCAAGCATAACAAGAGATATTGCGTTGTTGGAACACTTTCAACAGAGCATTGGCAAATAAAATGTGTCTAATTTATGAAGTCATTTGGACGCCATTCGATTGATATTGAATTGCGTGGGAATTATGCCCCCATGTCTTGGTATGTGCAGACTGCAACTGCTCCAGTTTCTCGTAGGGATTATTTGAAATGTGAACTTCCCTGGCACAAGTGCATAACCCGTGTAATTTGCTCTTTTAAAATTTCCTCATCCCTCCCCACACGCTCCGGAGCATTTTTCTGTCATTGGCTATGCTACATTTTCCTCTGTGCCACATAGTCAACGAATTGTTCACAATTAATCCCTGCAACCACAGAAGAGGACCACCATCTAGAATTGGAAAGGGATTGTTCTACCACCTATAACTAAATACGTCCATTACTGAAGGCGAGACGCACACTTATCTCTGGTGAGTGAGTAACACTGTATTCCACAGAGGCAGCTGACATTTTTTATTTTATTTTTTTTTTTCCCCCCCTTGTAATATGCATTTCCACCACCTCGCTGCAAAACTCACAGAGAGACATTTACAAGGCCAGTCTGCTCCTCTTGTGGGTTCACAGTAAGTGGTGAGGATTTTCTCTAAGAGCATCAGCTCTGTGTTAATGACATGCAGTCTCCGGAAAGGTTTATCCATTCAATTTGACTCTGGAGAGACGATCTCTTCAGCCTCCTGATTAAATTAAGATTCTTTAATAAGCATATCTAGGTGCACCGACTCGAGAGACAAGCTGATCTGTGTCTACCAACGGAGATACCGAAGTCCTGGTTTAATAGCAAGTCATTTTTTTCCTCTGTCCTTTTTTTTTTTCTTTCTCAGTTTTGGATACTTTTGAAGAATTATTATAATTCACATTGTCCTTAACATTCTGCAGAGCCGTTTAGTTCTGGACATCTATACAGCTTTTCATTTTATTTTTATTTTTAGGTTGCTGCAGCAAAGATTTTCCAAAAGAACCTGTGAACCTGTCAGTTGTAGCACTTTTTTTTTTTTTTTGACTGCGCATACATCTCTTTCTGTACCTGTTAGATATTTCGATGACTCACAGTGAATAATGCTGCATTCATTTCTGTGGGAGGAGAGGCTCAGCGGGGGGGTGGGGTGGTGGGTTCACTACCAATTAAGAGGAACGAAGCAATTAGTTTTAAACTTTTGCATGGATTTATGCAAACGGCGTTTCAAAGGTGCGTTACACAGTTGTGTTTTCTGCTGCTCTGTTGTATTTTGTCAATGAATGACTCCTTTTCAAACTCTAGCACCCCTTTTTGGGGGATTTAATTCTCATGTATTTTGATGTAGAAACAGCTCAGTGAAAACTTGAACATGACATTTTCTTTTTTTTTTAAATATTACAAAGGACACATGACTGCTGTTAGAATAAATGTAATTTAATATAAAACTGTCAGTATGCATTGTGGCGTGCTTGTTAATCCAACTGTTTTTTGTTTTTTTTAAATATAACAAATATATTTTTGCAACGATAACAGTATTAATAACATAATTTTAAAAACCAAAGTACAAAATTACTTGTAACAAACTGTAAATAAATAAATGAATCATCAGCTTACCTATCATTTGCCGAATACGGTTAATTATATTCTTTGGACAAAGGTATTCACATTATTTTTGTTCTTGAAAACTTGCCTGATTTAGATGCATTATGTCCGTTCACCACATTTCAGCACCTCCTGATTAAGCATATGACGTTATTATTGAGGCACTATGAATGATTATTACACCCAGTTTCTGCCTGTGATGTAATTCAGCCACACAGCACCGGTCATAGTTCATCAATCCGGTGCGCGTTACACAGCATGACTTCGATAAACAAAACGCAGCACTCAGTTAAATTATATTTGGAAGAACTGCGGTGAAAATAAATACACTCAGCAGTGAAGTGGTGCTTTGAATGTCAGCATATCTAACTTTGGATTTAGGCATTTCGAGGCGAGTACAAAGGGTTACAGAGTTAGATGCCTATTGTATAACAGCGAAGCTGTGTTCTGTGTGTTTTCTGAGAATCTGTTGTTTTTTTTCTTAGATATTCTAACACTTGATTGTTCAGGTTTTAAAGCTAGTCTTTCCCCTTCTGTGTCGACTTTGTAGCGGTTTGTTGAATCTCTTATCTCTTAATATCATTTAGTTTTTAGTAAAGGCATGAATAAAAACGCGATCAGTTGCAGTGATCAGCTGTCCTCACAGTTAATTCTTGTGTTGCAAATACATGGGCCAGACGTGGCCGTCGAACAGGCCGGGGGGGGTCTGGCATGGTGTATATATCTATCTATCTATATATATATATATATATATATGAGTGTGTGTGTGTGTGTTTAGTTTATTTTATTTTATTTTTTATTTTTTTACTGTGATAGCCATCTGCTTTGCGAGATGTAATTCTTTGGGTAAATACGGAACGTGTTGAAACTGATATTATGTTGGGCAGAGGGCTGCCTGTCAGTCAGTGGAAACCAGCCCACGCTTACTCTGATAAAGCCAGACAGTCCTTTTTTTTTTTTTTTTTACTAATATGTAAACTAGATAGACCTCATATTTCAGATAAATGCGATAGATATAACATTGAGTTTCCCAATATATTATGGGGTTATGCATTACCTCTGCTTGATTTTACTCTCCCTTCAGTCTTCATCTAATCACCCCCCTCCCACATTCTAGTTTTGGAGTGTTTATTTTCTCTCAGGTCTTCTCATTATCACCAGATAATTGCCTTTGTATCTCCCCATTTTTATTTGGCAGATATAATCTCATGCCTATGCTGATATGCTATACTGCCGCCATCCTGCATGTGTGTGTCGAGCGGTGGAACTCCATCTGCGGGCCTGTGTGAGGCGTTATGTAAATGGTTGTGCAGAGGCCTGATGAGCAGACACAATATAGCATTCATCACTGAAGAGTTCGCCCTTGTGTTTGACAGTTATTTTTCTTTTTCTCGCCACTTTGTTTTTGCCGCTTTTACAGATTAGCGAACGTCTGTGTGGTTTGCTAATGTCTGCTGCCGTCGCTGCTGTTTACGCCTGTTATCACAAAAGCTTCTGTTAAATCTTCAATTATTTTACATTAGGGAAGCTCCGGGGTGTATCCTACGTGGTACTAATTAGACAGCAGATTCTTTGATTCCAAAGTCGAAGAAAAAAACCTGTTACTGTTTGCAGATTGTGATTGAGTTGCTCCTGTCAAAAGCAACAGCAGCGTTCCCCTTTAAATTAGTTTCCATCATAAACCCGACACATCTGCGGCGTTGTTCTGACATCTCTCACCTTATTCTTGACTGACTTTGAGCGACAAATTATTCGCAACTGTTTGTCGAGATGCTGCTGAAAAAGCTTCTCTGAGAGGTTGACTGCGGATGTTTGTTCAAGGTCGAACAACTTCAGATAAGTAACTGGTGAAAACCTTAAACTTTGCACAGCGAAACATGCAAGATAAATCCCATAGAAATCATTTAATGTGAGAAGCAAATGAATCTCATGTACAACCGCGCAAATTTAACACGATCTTATTTTTTAAGAAATATCAACTTTAAGCTTCAGAGCAGGTATTAACCCACATTGTTATGTGTCATATATATATGTTATATGTTATTGCTATAGCTGCTACATAGTGCACATCCCACAGTTTGCATTATTTAGGTGGACGTTGGAGAAGATGCACTGCGACTGCTTTATTTGTCTGATGCTCCAAACCACATAAAGAAGCCCTGCAAGGTCACTAAAAATGATTGTCTTCTAAAGTGCTGCTCAACAAAATGCTTAATACCCATGTAGGAGAAGGTCTGTTGTGTAATTGAATGAGGATGAATCATGGCATTTTTCAAAACAGAATATAGACTCAGTCAATCTGTAGCTCTGGAAATAATTCATGTGCTGCAATACCTGAATACTGTTGCTTCAAAAGGGGAATAAAGTACCACTTGTTATTAACTGCTTTTTATTATTATTATTATTATTTATTAAAGCAAAGTGTTTTGGTCATCTGTTAATGTAAGAAACTCTCTCCTTTGTTTTCAGGATATTTGACAGTTACCATAGAGCCCCTGCCTCCTGTTGTTGTGGGTGAGACTGTTACTCTCAAGTGCAACTTCAAAACTGATGGAAGGCTTCGAGAGATTGTTTGGTACAGGGTGAGTAAACTTGTCTACACTTGTCTTTCAAATCCATTAAACATGAGATGCTTCATTTTATTTCCAGTCGTTCGGCATCCGAATGGGGTCAATGCCAACATTCGTGTCCCGGGTTTACGGCTGTGTTAGCAGAAGAACCGCGCACAGCCAGACTGCAGTTGTTAGGGAAACAAGCTATTATTCAGGCCAGCTGTATGGGAGGCATCACTGGCTGTTGCTTGGGAATTTGATTTCTCAATCGGCTGGTCATCACCATCATTTCTTAATAGTTCACAGCTGGCGACTCAACAGTTATTAAAACCCCAGTTGGTGCACTACACTGCTTAAGTGCTGCTAATAATTAAATTTGCTGTTAAAGGAGAAAAACAACAAAACTTTGAATGTCCAAGACGGAGTTTTATTTGTTTCATTCTAAGGGGCACGTTTTAAAGTTCTGTATGGAAGTAAGGGCTGGTAAAAAAACAAATCTGCAAAATATTACTGTTCAGAGAGGAGAAATTTGTTTCACTTCAAGAGAGTCACTGATTAGCACTTGAATTTGAAAGCAGTAGCAGCTGCCGCTATCACATTCTCGCCTGACCATTTGTTTTTGCCAAAGACTCTCCAATAATTCTTGAGAGCTATACAAGCTTGCTTTGTAAAAGTGTCTGACTTTTCATGTTAGTTGAAGTTGCTGAGCGGTGATTGGATGTGCATAATAAGTACGGGCGAATTGTAGACCCCGAAATGTTATCGACCTGCCCCGAGGGTCTTTCGTAAAATGCATCCAAGCTCCGTGTTGTGTCATTTATGATGCCTGTGATAGGTCGTAATGACTGGTGGGTTTTCCAAAGCAAACACATAAACACTACAAAGACAGATGAATAGATAGGGGAGACTTTGCTGATGCCAGTGTTCTTGCACGTGCGGTCCTGACTTCCTCCGCAGTGGATGTTGCTTTGAGGCGCGTTCTACTGATTCCATACATAGAGTTCAGTCCACCCATCATGAGATGAAAATAAGCACGTTTTCCTGGAGACAGCGTTGCATGAGAGCTACAATTCTGCCTATGAAAACAGTTGCATGATGTATGCTTTCGGCCAGTGGAGCTTTCTAGAGGGTGCTAAATCTGAGAAATCACCATCTGGTAATACTGATTGTAATAAATGTGGCATGTTGTGGAGCTGGACTGAAGCTAATAAGAAAGTCAGGATATTTCAACTTGAGCTGCATAATTTTCAACTCTCCTTTTAAATTCCTCCAATGTCCATGCTGTACCAAATTGCTGCAATGCTCCTTTACAGAATTAGTATGTGAGTCACAGTGACAACAGAATACTAAATGGTCGTGAGGGGAGGAAATTTGAATAATTCTATCCAAAAAAACACACAACCATTACTCCAGTTTACTTTGATGTGCTTTAAACCTGCAGCTTCTGTCAACACAACTGAAAATTCGGAGTTTCTGAGCAATCCTTTCCTGTTGTACTGAGTGGCATTAGACCAAACCTGGTGAATGCACCTACAGTCGCCCTCAAATTTATTCATACCCTCCAATTAAAGGCCAAAAAAAAAAAAAACAGCTGTCACTGAAATAAAATTGACAAAAATAATAATATATTTTTAAAAAATTATGAAAAACATGACATTGCTTTTGAATTGTGGTTTGACAGAAATGTTAAAAAAACAAAACAACAAGCAAACAATCATGATGGGACCCATGAACTAATATTTTGTTGAACAACCCTTTGAGCCAATCACTGCAATCAAGGGTTTTCTGTAACTCTCAGTCAGACTTCTGCACCTGTTGACAGGTATTTTGATTTTGGTCCACTGCTCATCATCAAAGTGCTCTAATTTGTCTGAGACAGGTTTGTTTTTTTTAATTATTCTTTTCATCCACAATTAAAAAGCAATGTCTTTTTTCACTAAATTAGAATTTAGCAAATTTTTATTTAGTATTTATTTCTGTTTCTAGTAATTTGAGTGACTATTGTGAATTTTGCCTTTTCTTAAATGTAAGGGTATGTATACATTTGAGGACGACTGCGTTTAAACCTTTTTTTTTTTTTGTATATGGACTTTAATCACTGACCAGTCATCGGAGCTACAGATAAACTCCTTAGTGGTGCTTTTGCCATAATGCCAATCCTGACTGGTTTGTTCCTACTTGCTCATATTTCAAGCAGTAACTGTTTGATAACTCTGAATGAACAGTGCGACACTGTGATGATATTCACCTTGATTTCTCCTTCCAACCTGAGCTAAAACACTATTCATTAATGAGCGAGCAGCGCTTTATTGCTTAGCCAGGAAGTCTGTCTTTGGAGTAGCTTCTTCTTTTTCACTTTTATTATTGTGAAATAAAACAGTGTCTCTGGACTCATCTTAGCAAATGCTGACCTTTCAAGGTAGGACAAGAAAGGAAAAAAAAAAAAAGATTTATGGTACTTTACACATTCACCTTAGTATCATAGATCACTTTCATTGCTGTGACAATTTCATTTAATCAACCGGGGTTTGGAGAGCATTGTTTTGCTTATATTCTGTCCGATTTCCTGCAGTTTCTATTGATAGCTGTAGTTTAAATAACCACTCTGAGAACAGGTCTGCCTATATTAAGTGTTCTCGCAGGGAAAGCAAAGAGGTTGTAACAGAAATCTGCCCCATCTCTCTCGTGGCCGCTGCTCAGCACAACCGTTGATAAATTATAAATCAATTACCGGCACTTGGCTGCCAAAGTTTCTTTAATCTCTGCCTTTTATTTGACTAAATACTGTTGACTTCTCATTTTACCTCCTGTTCAAATGGAACTGGGGTTGATACTCACCTGGGGAATCCTCATATCTAATCGAAGCTTGGCCAATCGCACAGAGGACTGAATAAACTGAATATTTCAGCATGTGCTCATTTGCTGTGCTCGATCCAGACGTATTCTGTTTGAGGTTTTTTTTTTTTTTTTTTTTAAACATTACACTTCCAGACTGCAGTCAGAATTAGCACGTCTAAGGATGTACTTAAGATAAACCTGATTATTTTAGAGAACCTTTCAAGCCGCGCTAACTCAGATTCTCTACAGTATATTCAAAACTAGAGAGATAAAAGTAATGGATTTGATATGAGTTCCCACATGGTTTCTATTATATAAAAGTATTTTGTATTTTCTTTTATCCCCTAAATCATGAATAAGTTATTTTATGGTGACATGACTTGAATGAAGCGTGAGAAAGGCTTTTAATGAGAAGACATACCGTCTATTGTTGTTCAGCGTACATTCACAGCACGGTTTTCCATAAACTTATTATTTCTTGATGACATCAATCCTTGCATTTTGTTGGCCTTAGTGCCTTATTGTTTGTGGAACTCAGAGACTGCAGTGCTGAATGTATGAAAATATGAATAACTCCAAAATTAATTGGGTTTTTCCTAAAATATAGTTTAAAAAAAAACAAAACAAATCTTACCTTAAAACAACATATGTAGAAAAGCATTCAGGCAGTAATGCTGTCCTTTGTTACAGATTGAGCTTGCACATTTGATAAATATGACAAAATGTAGAACATGATGAAACTAAAAATAACTAAAACAAAAAACAAATAATAAATAAAAGTAATAGGGACATTTTTTAATGTATTTTAAGATTATACAGAAATGGATTTATAGTATTAAGAACCATTTAGTAACAAGCTCATAAAACAAGTTTAAGATAATGAAGCTGTTTGGAAACTATGTACAAATATTACAGTTAGGGGTGGGCGATATGGCAAAAATATCACATCACGATTCTTTTACTATAAAATCACAATTTTGATTTCATTACGAGCTTACATGTATTTTTGAGACTAATTAGCAAGTTTCTAGTCATTGCAACCAAACCATTTGTGTATGTACAGTGATTGAACACGTTTGTCGTGTTGCCATCTGACGTGCGAACCGTCTCTGTGCAAACTTTGCAAATTACCTTTGTTTCCGCTGTGTCATTTCAAATCAAATCAAGCTTATTGCCATTTTGCTGTAGACGAGAGAGCGTTTCTTCAGGATCATTTAAATAGTAAGTTTTATGGAATCAACGTCTGGGATAGACACTCAACGTTCACTGTCGCTGTCTCCTGAAGGGGGCGCTGCTCCATGCGCACCACCATCACGTTGAACATGGTGAACCTCTCCAGGTCATGATAGGTCTTCAGGGACACAAAGACACACACGATGGTGTGACGATGGTGAAGCCACAGATGCTGCCCAGAGCTAGCTGTCTGTCTCTCTGTATCCCCTCCAGCTGTATGTCCGTCTGGGATGTTGTCATGTTTCCATGTTTCTGTTAAACACAGCAGTCCCTCCACTCTGCGGGTTTCTCTCAGCAAACGGAGCTCATCCAGCTTGTTGTGGAGGGACATTGGAGAGTAGGAGGACAGTCCTGCTGGTCTGGAGGGGTTAGCCTTTAGCCTAGCATGGATCCCGGCTCTCTTCCTCCTCCTTTGTTTACATTCGTACCGTTTGCGCTTCCTTCTCTGTCCGGTAACTGCTGGCATAGTCTCCGTGTTGGTGTAGTGTGTCCAAATCACAACTGAGCACCGCAAATTCAGCAACGTCTCTCGGCTGTAGGTTTTGTAGAATGGACGTCTGGGATAGACAATTTGGGAAAAGCCAAAACAATTCCATATAATGGAAGTGGAGGTTTTTCTTTTAGCCACCAGCTCCAACGTTTGGCTTTCAGCCATGGCTCTCCATATGGCTACGCTACACACACACACAAACAAGGAGGCCGGTAAGAAGTTGTGTCACTGCCCGTAATTTGCTATGATTGGTCGGTCAGGTTGACGATGTAATACGTCTGGTGCGTCAGTGCATCAGCATAGAACTGCAATTTATAGAAAGTGACCCAAACGATTCAATCGTTCTCGATCTAATATCATTATATCGCGCACCCCTAATTACAGTGTAAAATTTCAACTCTCCAAACCCAAAGTCTTATATTTTACTCGCTACATACTGTGTGATTTTTGGTCTTGGCTCTAAATCGGT